CCCCTCACTTTTAAAAAGAAAAAAAAAATGCAAGCCACAAGAGGTATGGGATTTGATGAAACATACATAGCCGAAGAAGCCCCCAAGGAAGCAGGAGCCACTAAGACAATAAGTGGATATATTAGTCGAATTGAAGGAGCCACAATGGCCTTGGAGCATTTAAGGAGGAAGGCAACTGTAATGGAATTAGGACAAAAGAGGAGCAAAAGTTGGAGAGCGCTGCAAAAAAGCAACAAGGAAATGAGCAGGAAGGACTAAAGCGAGGGGAAAAGCCACTTGAGATGAAGGCATCTGTTCGTGAGGGACTGGTACAGAATCACAGCCTAAGGCAGCCCATAAGAGCCTTTCACACAAAAGTGCCTATAAGCTCACATAAAAAGGGCAAACGTGCAACAGACAACACATGGAAATGAGCAGAAAAAGACAATTGCAATGGACATGACACGGTAAGCTTGGTAAAATGGATCAACGAGGACTAGGCATGTGAGTGGCCATGAGTGTGGCAGACGAATCGACTGCAAGGGTAGGGGGCTAGGACACCGAGTGGGCGCACACTGTCATTTGAATCTTGATGTGATCTGAGACTACGAGGTGTGGTGTGTGTGTGTGCGCGCGTCGTGCACATTTATTTATTTATTTTTTCATGTATGTGCTATTTTCGAGAAAGGTGAAAAAGGCATCTAGTTAGCATCCACAGACATATTTTGGCGAAATTATTTTAAATGCTATATAAAAATTGCCATACATTAAACTGATAAGCCTCATATTCCAATTTTACGGAATATAAAAACCGCTAATTGGATGTTTTTCTGCAGTTATTTCGGAAACCATCATAACTTACATTGCATTCACTTCTATCAGTTATAGAAAAACATGATAAAGCTCCCTATCAAACTTATTATATGTCATGTACTAGCAATTTAGTTGTGCACATAAGCCATTAAAAACACTGAAATGAGATAAAATCAGCTACTGGAGGGAAGGAGAAGTGGGTAGAAATAATAAACAGTAATTAATCACCACTCAACTTACAATTGACTGCAGCGGTACCCCTTTTTTTGCATCCACATATGCATTTGCACGCAATTCTTCATAACTAGAATCACCAACAATATCGCATGGAAGACTGAAAGAAGGCACACAATCAGAGACCACTTAGAGATCATCATATGATAATTTCCAAACAAAAAGTGAATGGAATCGAGTTCATACTTTATCTAGTTTTTTTATTTTTTTAAGAAACAAATTACTAGGAGCATAACTCGTCAACCAAAAGTTGCTGCATGAAAAAGTATACAACTCACAAATCACATGGTATTAAAGCTCTTCAATATTATCTTCCTTACTATTTCCAGTGGCCATAACAAGTAATTTTCCAAAGAGGTGCCTCATTCTTGAAATCCTCTATTATTTGACGTTTACATGACTCAGGATCTGTACACCTATGTGATTAAAAACAGAAATTGTTAGAAAAATCATACAGACAACATTAACAAAGTATGCAATGAGACAAATGACGTGAGGGGTGTTGTCTTTTAGCTATACAAGGAAAACTTACTCATGAACAGATGCTTGTTTTTGAGTATCAGCTTCGTGAGACAACGTGGAGTTTGTTGCAGCGGTGGGCCGGATCCACTTATTTTCAAATGGCTGAAAAATAAAACCAAAAAGGAAAGAGAACGACTAACATGCTCAATATCAGTTTAAATGAAATCAAACATATACAAAGGAGAGAGTTCTTCACAAATAATATTCTTGAACACAAAATGAACAATAGAAAACGGAAATAAATTCCATTGAACATTGACATATTCACAACACCTTCAACAGCAAAAAGCATAACCGACCTTAGAAGGATTTTGATTTCTAGGACCAAAGATGTTTGCACCACTCAACTGGGTGGTATCTTGAACCCCAAATCCATATGGATTGGGCGTTGATTGCTGACTATTTTGTGAGAGCTGTGAAGTCTTTGTAGAACCAAGACCAAAAGGACTAGGCCTCGTTTGTTGTTGGCTAACATGGAGGAACTTACAGCGGTCACCATACTGACAACTAAAAAGAAGTGAAACAGATGAATAAATTTTCAATTAGTTAAAAAAGAGGATATGAATGTGTTGAAACAGATATTACAAAGGATTATGGAAAATATTAAAAAGTTCGATTGAAAGTTGAAAAAAAATGTACATGCAAAAATATGCATCACAGAACAACATCAAATCAATTAATCACAAAATTAAATGTACAGAGTCTATGCTTCAAAGATTAAAAAAAGAAAAGAAAAGAAAATGCATTCAATATAGAAGTAAATAGAGTTTAGCAAACAGTAACATAAAGGACTCAGATCCTGTTTGTATGTATTTAACATGCTTGTGAGTTATTGAATTTGCAAGTTATAAGCACTACGCTATTACTTGTCTAATAAAAATAATCTGGTAGAGCGAAACCACATAAAATGGTTCTTGTTAAACATAAACGTTATCAATTCTACTGCGCCTATGAATTATTAGCTGGTATAAAGTAAAATGGATGAGGAGAATCATCATTGCAGGTGATAATATACTGGCCACATCATCTCAACTCAGAGTGTTAATTAAGAATCTCCACTTCCAGCTCAATGATCCCTTGAACTTTATCCAACTCAAAATTGAATTTAATCCAATCTAATCAACCTCAAGAACCAAGTTTTGATTGACTGCTTTTCAACCCCACTTCAAGCCAATGGTGGCTTGCTAAAAATCAATTCAAATTGGATGAACTGCATTTGTGAAGTATAGGGCATCATACATATGGAACATTCACACTCAAGAAAACAAATGAGAATTTAGAAATAGTTTTACAGTGGTTAGTGGTTTGAAGCTATCTATGAGAATTATAGAATCCAAATTTTGTTTTCCGAGATTGCATATACTCATTAGATTTTCAAAAAATTTTAATCACTCCGTGTTCTTGAGGAAAATAAAATTCTTGAGCAGACTTAAAATTGATTACATCGAGCAAAACTCAATAAAATTTTGAGATCTAGTCATCTTCAAGTTGAACTAGGATTGCAAATTTCATGTTCGAGTCCAAACTGATCAGTCATATAGTTCACACCAGCTTCTAGTCATGATAGTGGTTCTGGATTGAAAGTAACAAATAGGTTCTGGATATGTACTCACTTCACTTTGTAATTCCAATAATCCAATTCTGCTTGCTCACTACCAAAAGTTCCGACATAAAAGTTCAGTAGAATTGAAATTTCTCATCTCCAATCAAAAACAGATCATGGAATGCTTCATAGAGTTGTAATTAAACCAGAGTTCAAGCTGTGAAATGCATACATTACTCAGAAATTAACAAGTCTCGACTCAACTCTATAGACAAATCATGGTTTCAAACACCAAATAAATACAAGCTCCCTATAATAAAGCGAGTTATGAAATCCATCGCCTAAAAAGGTATGATTACAAGTCATAGATTGCAAGTTCAATCCTCCACAATGTTGCAGTTGACAAGACTTGTATTAAAGAACAAATTTAAGGGCCCGTTTGGGACAGCTTATAAGTGCGGGCGGGGTTTTGAAAACGCCGCCTCACTGTTTGGTACCCACTTATCGAGAGATTATTGAAAAATGCGTTTTCTAAATTGTAAAAGACGCGGACCGCGGGCGTTTTCCGATTCCAATTTACGCATATTGCCCTCGATCCCGCTCCCGTGACCTTATTTTTTCCTTCGCCTCTCCTGTGACACTAGCTTCGCCTCTCGCTCTCGTCTCTGTTCAAAGCCTCGGCTAGGAGCTTCGCCTCTCACTCTCGTCTCCGTTCAAAGCCGGATCGTAGTCGTTCGCTCACCAACCCGTTCGACGCCGGATCCAGCAACCCTTCGCCTCTCACTCCCGTCAGCAAGTCGTTCGACGTCGGATCCAGCAAGGCTTGGCCGCTCGCTCCCGTAACCTTGCCATTCGACGCCGGATCGAGGCTCGCTCCCATAACATCTGTTCGACGCCGGATTCAGCAGCGGAGAATCCATCGCCAGAGTCCAGTCATTACACATTTACAGCGACCTGCGGTTTTGCCTAAAGGAACAATCATCGATATTTTGTAATCACTAGATCTGATATTTTCTTAGAGAAGTCTCCCAGACCATTTCAAAAATGAAGGCTTGCTTAAGCAAAGCGTGTAAAAAGATGAGGTGTTGTCTAATGAATATTAAAGTAGACTCAACATGATTGAACTATATTTTTGATATTCTTTAGGGCTGCTATCTACTGGGTTGAGGAAAAGTGCGATGGTGAAAGAATGGTGAAATATTCGAATTTTGGTTTTCAAGTGTGTTATCAACAGGTCTTTTTTTTTTCATTATCAACTTGTTTGGTTACTTGGTCATTCTTGATAAATTTTTCATGAAATTTTCCTTTGCAAATAAATCTAAATGGAAACTTTGTTTCTACCCTTTATTTGTAGGATGTTTTCTTAAATGATTTTTCTTTTGAATTTGGTTGGAGTTGCTTTTTGAGTTTGGATTTAGCTGAGCTTTATTGTTTCTTTACTCCCCCTTATTCTACTCTCCTTACTTCATATTAGTTGCTCTTAGTTCATTTTAATTTTGACATTTATATGCCATTTTACTTTTGCATTCAAAGTTGTATTCACTTTTTGAAAGCTAAAATAATGATATTTTTGATATGGTATGAAAAAGTTAGGTGATATTAATATAAAAGATAAAATTCAGGTATTAGATATGTAAATACAAAGGAGTTGGGTGGGATGCATGCAAATGCTCCTAAATGAAATATCATTTGTGAGGAAAAATCTTCTTTATTATATGATATTTTTTCTTCCACCAAGTAGATATTTCCTCTTTTATATGAATGTACAGTTTGACAATCTTTACAAAAGTTCTTTTTTTCTTTCCAAAGTTTATCCTATTTTTTAGTAATCTTTGTCATGATTTGTTTCCAATGTCTAATCTTTACGGCGTCACAAAGATGAAGATGCCAGTAATCTATCTTTTGTTTGGTGATTTTTTAGAGGGTTGATATAGAAATTGTTCTTTTATTTTGTAATTTATTTGTCATGACATAACTCAATGAGTAAAGCTAGAGAAGCTGGAACATCAGTCATGTGGGATAGAGAAATTACTATGATCTTTTGTGATTTATTTGTAAGGGAGGTTGAGGTGGGAATTAGACCCACTACATTTTTTAACAAAGAAGGGTGGTGAAATATCTTGGTTAAATTCAAAGAAATGACTGGAAGAGATTACGATCGCATGAAAATGAAGAACAAATGAGACCAGTTAAAGAAGGATTGGAAACTATGGAAAGAACTGAAAAGGGGATCAACGGGAATGGGCTGGGATCCAGTTAAGCGCACAATAGATGCACCAGAAGAATGGGGTTGCTTTCAATTCCAGGTGCATAATTTACTCTTTCTATTTTATGTTTAATTTAATTTTGCACTGACCTAACACTATTTTATTAATGCACATTTGTTACCTATATCAGACAGCGCCGTCAGCCAAAAAATTTAAATTCGTTGGCATTGATCCAGTAATGGAGGAAAAA